TATATATATAACTTTTGATAATCGACTTTTTTTTTTTTTGTCTTCCTAACTTGCCTTTCAGCAAGACAGATTTTTAATTAAATCCCTTAAAGGGAAGTGCAAAAGGTGTCAAACACCAAACAATAATTGCTCCGTGATGAATGTAGATATGAGTCATGCACATAATTACGTGGAATTTACCTCGCCTTAGCTTAGCTCTCCATACATTGAAACCGTCGTCATATTGATAAATGAAAAATAACAGACATATATTTTTCTTTTAAGCATATCATCTCTTAGAATTACGAAATTTCCAAGTGACATTTATTGGGCGAAATGCTGAAAAAGCGGTTTCGTATTTTCCTCAATAATTACATGTTTAGGTTCAAACGTAGCATGTCTGTTTCTGAGAGTTTTGAGTTGCTTAATGTGATACCAGCTTGTACGTTCATCCACCACGATCTTGCTCAAGGAATGCCTTGTATTTCTAAAACAGCTCGGTCATTCCCGGTATTGGACTGGAACTAGCTTTTAATAGAGGCTCATGGGGGGAATATCATTAAAAAGAGATTAATGTCATTTGCATTTCAAAAGACTCCCTGCATTAGCCTCAGTTGCAAGCTAGTCCCAGTCCAATACCGGGAATACGAATGTGGCCTATTTGAGTCAGTGGTAGATACACCTCGTCGTAAATGTGTTTGGTTGGCGTAAAATGGTTATCAACGATGGTGTCGTTGATGGCGTCATCGTGCCAGGAGACTAAGATAATCTATTCGTTAAGATTGTGGGACAGTAAACGCAGTCTTTACTATATCATTGTTTGAAAGACCAATTACAGTCTTTTAGTGTGGTGGATCACAGCATTAAAGGATTACCATCTCTGTTTATCTGTTTTGCATTCAACTTCAGTTCCGGGCTGATTTTTATTTGTTTTATGGGGATAGATTTAATGTTTGGAATTCTGGACTGTTTTCGTTACATTAGGTTTCTGTTCATATATTGTAATGTAATTTCAGCGGGGCTTAAGAGTAATTAGTTATAAAGAGGTTTGTTATATTGTTATATCGGGGTTGTACTGTAGTTTTAGTGATGGTGTTATTGTTTGTTATTAGTTATAGTAAGTGGATCGAGTGGAGTACAATTCAGAGAGTAATTAATCACGCGACTACCCTAATGATTCAATTTAGCGCCCGGGGCACTTATTTTCTTTTGGTACCTCAAGGGAGGGCGCTTGTTCGGGACAGGGCGCGTATTTCATTTTTGAGAAACAACCGAATGTTCAAAACAAAACGTTAATACGGTATGAGGACATTCAGGGGACAGCCGCTTCATAGTGTCCTTAATTGCGTTCTCAAATTCCCGACAGTGTTCTTTCTTGAAGAGGAGTGGGTGCTTCACATGGTATGTGGAGTGTAGATGTGCAACATCCAAAGTCATACAGCTGAGGAGGTTAATGTCAGAAAAAGAAAGAACAGATAAAAGAGACTCCATTCTCTTTAAGCCCCAGTGTAGCAAGTCAACAGACTTCACGGTAGCCACAGAAACCATTTTGGGGGTCCGTTCAATAAAATTTTCCAAGCAGCTTTCTACGCAAAGCACGGAACGCTCAAACTCGGAAAGGACGTCCCTGCATAGTCCCACTTTTTCTACCGCCTGGCGTCATACAGATATCCCAAAGCCTTTTAAAATTTCGCGGTTTCACAGAGGGGTGTCACAATTTTCACTAAATTTGACAGAGCGTCACAAACATGAACGACACTGTCAAATTCTACGCAAACACCCATTGGCCGTTTAAACTTGCATTCGGCTACTGGTCCATCTTGTCAACCTTCTTCACTTCCAGCAAATAAACTTGTCGATGTTGTTATGGCGTGACCCGTGTGACTGCTCCTTCGATTACATTGAAGGTCAAATGTTAGCCCGGGACCAAGCTCCGCTGTGGGGTTAAGGAGCCCAGAAAAAAACAAAAAACAAAACAAAACAAACAAAACAAAAACAAAAACAAAAACAACAAGAAAAAAAGAAAAAAAAAAAAAATCGGTGGGCAAAGCGTGCCAAGCGGGGAACTGGGGAGGGAAAGGAGCGCCCCTTCCCCGCTCGGTTCGGTTCGCTCGCAATTTATTTTTTTGTTTTCTTTTTGTTTTTTTGTTTCTGTTTTGTGTGTGTGTGTGTGTGTGTGTGTGTGTGTTTTTTTTGTTTGTTTGTTTGTTTGTTTATTTGTTTGCCATGTTCCTTCTGTTCGCTCTTTAACCCTGTTGCGGAGCCTGGTCCCAGACTAGACAAATGCCTAATGATCTAACTTCTCGTTCTAAGGCCAGAGAGAAGACTAAAATATACCAACAAAATCCGAAATCTTATTCACCCCCCTCGTCTTGGCGTTGCACCGTGGTGTAATTAGGCCACTTCTAGTTCTTTCCCTAGGCATCAGCTATTTGTAAAACGGGTTAATAACTGGGAAGGCTTCTCGTGACCCTTTTACTTCTGTGTTTTGTGACCATACCATCGTTCTGTCTGGTGGGCCGATCGTTCGTTTTTGTTTTGTTTTTCTTAGATTAGGCATTCCTTTGCATTTCTGTTTTCTTTAGCTGTCATTTAAAAATAATTTTTAGGCCAGTTAAAGCTGCATGAGAACAGTACGAAGAAATTTAATAACTCTTCATGTTTTAAGATGTCAATACTCCAGAGAAATACTCTTAAAACTTGTCATATAACAATCACTGAGACGGTCAAAAAGACGGCTGAATGGTGGTTTTTCTTGATCTTACAAAAATAAACTTTGTTTGACATAAAAGGCTACTATAGCAATATTAAAGCTTGTTTAAGACACCTCTAATGTTAGGTTTAAGCCACAATAGCTCAAAAACGAGGTCCACCACCCCCATTTTATATTGTTGGGAAATAATTAGCATAATAAAATGCAACTATCTGCAAAGTTCAAACATAAGCACGCAAGGCGTGCAAGACAGTGTGATTTCTGAACAGCATCTTGATTTGCGAAGAGCTTCGCTCGAATTTTCCATCGATACATGATCACACAGTATATGCAACTTCAAGGTGTCTGTGACCTCTTCAGTTGGTCGCCAGTAAAGATTTGAATTTGGGATGACTTTATGTAACCATGTACGAAATATATAACTTGATACCGAATAATAACAACTGACAATAATATAACCAGATAGAAACAATAATAATAAGATAGAAATGAACCAGTAACTAAATAAATACGTAGACTGAAATAAAAATGAAAATTATTTATAGTTTAACTTGTGGTATCAAGGTTTATATTTCATGCATGGTTACATGAGGTCACATTGGATTGGTGTGGTGTGGTGTGGTGTGGTGTGGTGGCGTGTGGTGTGGTGTGGTGTAGTGTGGTGTGGTGTGGTGTTCAGAAACTCATGAAATGTTGCAGCTGAAAGGTCAACGAAAAAATAAAAATGTAAATAAATACAAGTGGCACTGCCTCAGTTATCTGCATGGTATTTTGTAATTGTAAGAATTGCATGAAGAATCAATCTGGAAGAAGAATTAATCTGGCGGGGACGCCAGATTAATTTCTAATTTTGGTTTTAATTTAGTGGGTTTGTGCGCAAGCGTGGCAATACAAGGCTTTTTATCCGATTAAGCGAAACGGCTTGGGCGCCGCTTTTTTCTTCCGTTAAAATGCACGCCACGCTGCATTTATTTATTGTTTAGCATGGGAAGGGCTCGCAAGTTTTGCCAATAAATAAAAATTCTATAAAAGTACCGTCCCAACTAATGAGGGTGTAAGGCGGAAGGAGTTTGTGAAATGGCATTTGGCATGACTTGCGTAATGGCAAAATTATGTGGAATGTGATATATGCAGAATGCTCAAGAAATTAATTCAACTTGAAAGCCTGCCCTTTCTACAGTTCTGATCACCTTGGATCATTAGTCGCGTCTGACAATCGAGAGAGTGAATAATCTCAAGTTAGTTATCGATCTCAATTACAACAAAATGTTGAAAAGCAAGCCCCGGGCTGTGCAGAGTACAAGTTTTGTGCATAACTGAAATATTTCTCGTAATGGCAGCTGGTTAAATCAAATTTGTTTTTAAGATTTTGTATGTTGGCTTTCCAAGATTATTAACTATAGAGACCTATGTAGAATTTTTCAGTGCGTTGATCGCGCCGTTGGACAGTAACGAAGCCGTTGGCCCTGTTCCATCACCTCCACAAGTAAAACTTGAAGCTTACATAGAAAAACAAAAAACAAAAACTCACGGAGAATAATAATAATAAAAATAACAACAACAACAACAACAACAACAATAATAATACTAACAATAATAATAATAATAATTTTATTTATTTTTTAATAATAATAATAATATTTATTAGTGGCTTATAAAAAATTACAACTGTAAAAATTCTTAGGACAATATATATGTCAGGGAAATACTAACTTACACACGAATTACAAATTACACTCATTCTTTACAGCCCTTATAAATTTGTCTATTGTCATTTGTCGAAAAAATTTAAATAAGAATAGTAAACAATACTCTACACATTTAAATGGCCAAAAAACTCTACTTTAAAAATACACTGTAATAATAATAATAATAATAATAATAATAATAATGATGATGATGATGATGATATTTGGCCAGGAGGCTCCGATCACCGGAGTGGTTTTCAGGGAAATCCTGAAAAAAAAGTTGTGGTCGCCAGGATCGTCGGGTAATGCGCTAACCACTTTCAAAAGCCTTACTGGTCACAGAAGACCCACAGGTATAAGACTGCTGGGTTTATACCCCTACGAGGAGCGACAAGGGCTTAGGAACAATTGCTGAAAGACAATATTTGAGCCCCAATTCAGTTTATTGGACAAAGTTACAAAAGCCTCGTAAATTCCAGCCAGCCCAAGTTAAGTTAAGTTAAACTGAATTTATTTCACTGTTCTATAAAGGGGTCTGGCAATCAAAGTAACTTGTTTAACAATTGGTCACTTGAGCATGGGTTGATATCCCCTAATATGCACTTCCACATCGGTTAAATGTTATATCAGTTTAATCCCCGTGTACTTCCCTTTGTATTGACATTTGTAAGGCGTGTTCACCTATTTGCCTTGATACTAAGCCTTGTTAATTCGCCGCGCCAAATTGACCCATTTCATAAGGTGGCGTGCTGAGCCAATAAACTGTACTAGACAAAACTACATGCCTGGCTGCTCTAGCATACCAGTTTTGTAATGAAGTAAAATTCAAATACAGGAGAGAAAATATGAATTCCAGTTCGCTTCAATTTGTTTCCGCAAAACTGACAAAACCTGAGCAATTCGTGAAGCTAAACTCCTTGGAAAATGTTATGCCACGCGGTATACTATGCCGGAAAAGGTTTTTTAATCGTGGCGATTTTTAATTTTGTTTTAGTATTGATTAGTTCGTTATTTATTTCTCAATTTTGAGAAACGTACATTTTTTCAAGTTAGTGAGAGTCATAACCAGTGCTGAAGTCAACAATCCTGAAACAACATTAGGAACACTGATTGCTTGTTTAGTCTACTGCTTAACCTACTTCCACGGCGGCCATGTTGGTGTCCTTTGGAGGGACACCAACATGGCGGATCATTATTAAGTCTTGTACTTTTCTGAACATCGTTTTCCCTAAAACTTTCTTCTGACCACTACTGATTGAGCCTAAAATTGCTCTCAAATGTTTCTCTATATCTGCCGTTCACCTATTTTGATTCTTGATTTTATTCATGCGTGCAAACATCGATGAAGACCAAGAACAGCAGGATCAATACTAGCATAACTTTTGAAATAAACCAGTTGATCATTCGCCTCTATAAACAAGTATTTTCTGATTTGGGCGATGCAAGTCCAAGATCTACCGACCTTATTCGACAAATTTCACCCATTTCGACAGAAAGACTGACCAAAGAAGTATCATCATGCAAATTCGGTCGGCGCACGCGTCGAAACAATTCCATGTTTGGAGTCTCAGCTGTATCCTCATTCTTTGCTCTTCTTTCATCAGTTACCTCAACTTCATGCCAGTGTTTACAGAGGACAATCTTACGGAATTCCCTTCGAAATGCGGGATTCATCCCAGCATATATGAAAGGGTTAATTGTATTCGACAAATAAAAGAGAAACATGCAAAAGAGCTCAACGTTTCGAGGCATTATCGCGACAAGACGAAAGCGACGGAGAATAACGATGATCCAGAACGGTACCCAGCAGATCATGAAAGCGAAGACGACTGCGAATAGAGACTTGCTGAGTTTGATTTCATGATTGGTGATACCCTTGCTTTTTCGCCATTTACGGCTTCTTTCCCGAGCGCTTTCTCGTCTTTGAATCGTCGTAGCTGCAGACGCATTGTGCTGTCGGATCATCTGCGCGACTTTTGTGTAGCTGAATGTAGTTGATATCAACGGTGTTAAAAAGAAAAACGTAAGGACGATGCCGTAGTTAATAGATTTGCCTGTTTCGCTGAGGTGTGCGATAGAGCACTGGGCGTAGCCTGGGACAAATTCGTACGCTTGAAGACCGAGCAATCGAGGAACCACCGCGTAACATGCAACGAAACTCCACACAGAGGCAAGCAAAGCGCGCGACTTTCTCGCGGAAAACAGTCTCTTGTACTGCTGATCCGACTTGCATATCCTCACATAACGATTTACAGCTGTTAAGCCCATGGTCACAGGAGAAACGTAGATAACAAACAGGCTGAAGAAGGCGTGAAGTTGGCAAAGCGTTCCGCCGACAATCCAGTTGCCTGCTATCAATACGCTCGCACTTATGGGCATCACAAACACAGCAGAGAGCAAATCGCTCACAGCCAAAGCGATAATGTACAAGTTTGTCGTCGTTCGGAGACGACTATTCTTGCAAACCGAAATACAAACCAAGGTGTTTCCAATTAGAGCCAAAACGTTCAAGGTTATGAGGAAGCTGACTTCTATAACGATCAAACTGAGACTTCGTGAGCTCAAATCGTCCGGCATCATAGCGACATAGGCGCATCAAATTGATCTAACTGCTCAAGGGTTTGCTACAAAGCCTCAGCAAAGGTTTGTCATTTTGGTTTTAGCTAGCTTTCAGCTACCGGCGTCACATTTTAATCCCAGTATTTCGCTTTCACCAGTGGAGATGTCAATTGCCCATCCAATTTCCAAATTTACATATTCGTTAGCATATTGTTGACGACATTTCTTACAGTCTGTACTTTCGAAACTTCGGCTGTGTCTCGCGAGAGTAATTTTTTTTGAGAATTTGAGAGATTACTCGAGTCTACACCCGCTAAGTAGTTTTGATTCCTGTTTCATCGACCAGCGAATGTTCTAGATTCGCTTAGTTTCCCAAATAGACAGATTTGGACTCCATACAGCATCCTCCAGGCTTCATTTTCATTTCCGCGTACCTTTCAGCGTGGTAGAGATGTAGAATTTTGCGTGCAAAACGGTAGACTCTCCATCTTCAATCTTCCAGCAAAACGTGCCCTCCGCCTCAGCCCGGGAAAAGGAAGCTCTTATATAAGAAAGAGCTAGTATATCATATTCCTTATTTATCAATTGTTTGAGAAACTATTTAATGTGAACAAACGCCTTTGATTGTATTCCAGTGGGATCACATTTGTCTTCATGAGCAGTAATCGGAAGCTTGCTTAGTGTGAACACTCCCAGTTGTCCCTGCAGATAAATTTCGCTCCCTTCAGAAAGAGGACTGTTCATCAAAACTAATGCGTTTTCTTTCCACTCTCGGCTTAGTTGTAAATCTGCGCTATGAATTTCGACGTCTTCACTTTGTGTAAAGACAAGGGGCGTTTCAATTCCAGACACGACACAAACTTTTCGTTTTCTTATGCAAAACGGAATTTTACGAAATTACCTCTTGAATACAGGATTCATTCCTGCGTATATGAACGGGTTAATTGTGTTCGAGACGGTAAACAAGAAACATGCAGAGGAGCTCAACATTTCTTCGAAACTGTAGCGAATACCGTCCAAATGACAGTACAAATATACAGCGACCAGCAAGCGCCGAGTTGAGAATTTTACAAAATTTGCGATTTTTCGCTAACTTCAGGATTTTTCGTTAAGTCATTGCGAAATTTGCGATTTTTTACACATCTTTGTAATGCTAACCACACCTCAGCCAGCTTGCAGATTTTACAAAATTTGCGATTTTTCGCTATTAACATAAGACAAAAAGACCGCTAAAGATGACAAGCATCTTTCTGTTCTCTCTGGGACGATAAAACGGGATGAAAATATGCTATTACCGCACACATGTAACACAAAAAAAGATAACTAGCTGTATTTTTCTCTCGTTCTTAAAGCGCTTGTTGTTGACCGAGTATTGTAAAGCAGGCTATGGGGAAGTGAGCAGAATGATATGAAATTAACACAACACCGGTACAACATAACAAATATAACATGAGATAAGCGTTTCTTGTTGACTGAGTATCTGGTCTACGTTCTAAAAGGGTGCTTCGTATTCAAAACGATCTAAAATGCACACAGCGATGTTTAAGCTTACGTGTCTTTGGGAAGATAAAACGGGAGGAAAATATTCCATTCCACAAACACGTGACTTATTAACCTTGTTCTAAAACTCTCCTAATCTTCCCTACAAGCGAGTTTCGGGAAAGGACACGACAGCAGAGTGATATGAGATTAACGTAACACCACAAGAGTCAACAAACTGCAATGTTTCGTTCTAAAAGCGTTTGTTCTATGCAGACTATCATGAGTATCGAAAGCATACATTGGACACAAGTGTTTCCTAGCCTGCGTCGCAGACGCAACCTACCGCGGGTTACTTATTTACGGGTAAATTTCCGTCTGCGACGCAGGCTAATATTTCCAAGCGCGAGTTTCGGGAAAGGTCGCGAAAGCAGAATGATATGAGATTAACGTAACACCACCAGAGATAGCAAATGGCGATGTTTCGTTCTGAAAGCGTTTGTTCTACGCAGATTAACGTAAGTATCGAAGCATACAGTCAACAAGAAAGATTCAAGGTTATGAGGGAGCTGACTTCTACAATGATCAGACTGAGAGTTCGTGAGCTCAAATCGTTCGGCATCGTAGAGACAAAGGCGCCAACTTTAGCATCAAATTGATCTAACTGCTCTCGGGTTTGCTATAAAGCCTCAGCAAAGGTTTGTCATTTTGGTTTTAGCTAGCTTTAAGCTATCGGCGTCACATTTTAATCCCGGTATTTCGCTTTCACCTGTGGAGATGTCAATTGGCCATTCAATATCCAAATTTACGTATTCGTTAGCATATTGCTGACGATATTTCTTACAGTGTGTACTTTCGAAACTTGGGCTGTGTTTCGGGACAATAATTTTTTTTGAGAATTTGAGAGATTACTCGAGTCTACACCCGCTAAGTAGTTTTGATTCCTGTTTCATTGACCAGCGAATGTTCTAGATTCGCTAAGTTTCCCAAACAGACAGATTTGGACTCCATACAGCATCCTCCAGGCTTCATTTTCATTTCCGCGTACCTTTCAGTTTTCAGCGTGGTAGAGATGTTGAATTTCGCGTGCAAAACGGTGGGAGGCAGGTGAATTGGTTTTTGGATCGACGGATTAGTGTAGGTTATCTCATGGGGCCGAGTAAAAGTAATATTAATATCACGCGTGTTTTCAGAAGTTGCTGGAATTGCCCGAGTCGCGCAGAGACGAGGGCAATTTCAGCTACTTCTGAAAACACAAGTGATATTAATCCTTGATTTCACGAGGACCAATTGCGATTACTTGTTAATGAATTGAAATAGAAGGAAAAATACTGAATTTCTGAATGCACTCTTGAGTAATCAGTGATAGGAAGCCATTTAATGCTGACAAAGAATCAATCGCCACAAACGCACGAATGAGCTGAATGAAATTTTATTTTTGCATAAAGATACCAGGACATTGACAACCAGGCCTGCTAACAAACTTTTAACTTTGAAAATATAAAGTTAGTGCTTTTTTAAACAAAGTTAAAACGTTCAAGACGCTTTCAGATCACTCAGAATCTGATTCTTCCATCAAGAAACGCTTTTATTCTCGCCTTATATCACTTGTGCTCTTCTGAACGGCATCATTCCCTGCGATGTTCAAGGTGACGCTGCATTGACTGAAATTAGGCCGGGAGCACACCAAGATGCAGTGGAATTTGCAGAATAAAGTTGACTTAAAGCGTCTCTTGAAGGAACAGGACCAGTGTTGTCAATGGCTCGTGAAATGATCTGCTGCTCCCTTTCGTCTCCTGAGTCGTAATCGTCAAGCCCGTTGGCAGATGCGTGGCCTGTGATATTCTTTGTCTCACACTTCGAGATACCAGAACTTTTCAACTTCTTTTAATACCACGGTTTTTCGTGCACTATGGTTGGTTAAACTCTTCTTGGGACACAGATCCTTCAGCGGCGAGTTCTTTTTCATGTTTTTCATGACTGTGTTTATGGTGTTCTTTCCCATTAGGGTTTTCTTGTACCAAACGCTTGAAACCGGCTTGTCGATGACAGAGAGGTAAAACAGACCGCTTTTTTTCTTTTCGCTTGGTCGCTTCCCCAGATATCGTTTGAACAACATGACGGATGCGTACCACTGAAATCTCACAGACATGAGGGGTGGCAATTAACAAGATTACAACGCTACAGTGGGAAAATTTAATTGTAAAAATAAAAAAAAAAGTACCAATTCTCAACGGAACTTTTACTCCAGGAAAAACGTTTAAAAACCCTGAAACAAGTAATACAAAGAAACAGAAATAACATAGTTAAAATTCCCAACTGGCTGAAGGCAGACCAGTTGGCTAATAACAGACCACGCGAAATAAGGCAATGCTTGGTTGGAGTAGACGTGAAATTTGCGCCATATGTTTTTCAGTAAATGGCCGGTCCGAGATGAAAAGAAGAATTCTAATTCGAGCAGAACTAGAGGGGTGCACATTTTGCACTGCGGAACAGCAATATGGAGAGTGATAAATCGATTGCTGTGAACTGCTTTTTTGAAAACAAGCAAGTCACAAGAAAACAGTTTTTTTTTCTGAGCAGAAACCTTTTTCATTCATATCTGGGCATGTCGAAAATTTTGAGCTCAGTCTTTTGTTTGTTTGTTTGTTTGTTTGTTTGCTGTGTGTATTGTTTTGAGGAAGGACTCTCAAACTGAGTTCTCTTCCGTTTTGTTTTGTCATTTGGTTAACCTATGAGTAGTCTTAATGCAAGTGTGCTGGAAATGTTTCCACCGGGAAGACTGGAGAGTATCTTGGAAAATAACCTGTCATCCAGAAACACATTTTAGAACAAAAAAGACGAGATTTATTTTACCAAGTTTTTGGAACAATGGAGATATGGGTGAGTGAATATGAGAAGGCCACAAAACATCTCGAGAATTCTCTCACGGCTTGTGATCTGGAGAGACATTGAAGACCGAAATGGTTAGGAGTAGTTCCAGTGATATACGAAATAGGGTATATTTGAACTGCGTAGAAAAATGTAAAGACATGCATAATCATCGCAGTTTTATTCACAACTCAAACGGTTGTGAAAATAAAGCCGGAAAAAATATGCTTCAACGGGATCCCGTTCGAATTCAAGCCTGTTTTTTTGTTTTTGTTTTTTTGTTTTTGTTGTTGTTGTTGTTGTTGTTTTGTTTGTTTCTTGTTGTTTTTCTATGTGTTTAAATGGATTAGCCTCCATAGTCATCGCAGTTTTATTCAGAACTCAAGCAGCTGTGAAAAAGAAGCAGGAAAAAATATGCTTGAACGGAATCCCGTTCAAGCCTGATTGTTTTTCATGTGTTTAAATGGATTAGCCTCCTTGACGAAAGTCATAAAATTGTGTATCGATCCGTTAGAATGAAAAGAAGGCTTCATAGAGTTTCAGTTCAAATTCTTACATAGACGTGTACCAACCAATAACTTCTTATTTAGAATAGGTCTACAAGGCGATGAAAAGTGCAGTTTTTCTCACACTTACTCTGAGTCAATAATTCATCTTTTTTGGTCATGCCGCCAAGCATCTTACTTTTGGAATAAACTTACTGAATGGCTGAAAAACTTAAATTTACTTCCTAGAGATTATGCTTTGACAAATATTACTGCTTTGGGTCTGAGGCCAGATA